GTCGTTGCAATATGCGTTTTTGCTGGCTGTTGCAGCGCTCTAGCGCTGCACGGCAAAAACGCATAATCAGGAGCAATTCTGGACAAAATAACGCTGGAAATCTGGGATGCTGAGAAAAAAACAGAACATACTTTTATAGAAAAGACAGCATCACTTGTAGCATATCGTATGTCAGCACAAGCTACCAAACTGACACCAGCACCAAAACAGTGGCCATGTACAGAAGCTATCACTGGCTTCGGGCATCTTTCCAATGCGGTAAAACCATCCTGGCATGTGGCAATCATCTCACGAAGTTTCAGTGATTTACGGCCAACATCCAGCGTAGCACTTTGAACAATCGCTGAGAGCTCCTGCAAATAATAATAAATTAACAGCGCTCAATAAAGCGCAAAACTCAGAACAGCCGCTGTAGAAAATCAGTAATTTGTGAATATAATATTGTTTAACGGTTACTTTTACCAATGCTGCGTCGCCTAGTGGTCAGCCTACTCACGATCCTGACGTCTATCTTGTCTTCTGAAGAGGTCGCCAGCTTAGCGGGCATCAGAGACAAAAGCCTCGAAGGCATAAGCAAATCCAGGACGGTTTCCTGAGCTAGAGACGGGCCTTAACTTAACGATGAACTGCAAACCAAAAATATCTAAAACTTCTCGCCACGTTCCATCTCTCTGAGAAAGATCGGCAATCAAAAGACAACAATCGATTATTGGCAAAATTGTCGACAGTCAATTCCTTCCTAAAACGGTTACCTGAGTAGTACGAAAACTATAAATTTTGTAAAAAATGAATATTTTATGAAAAGCTTTTCAGAAGCACAAAAACACAAAGATTCTGAGGCTGCAAATTTCCGAGACACGAACCCCTAATCCATCTTGCAAATCGATTCCAGCACAAAATGACTTTCCTGCTCCGGATAGTATGATTGCGCGACATTTCGAATTTGCTGCCAGATGTTCAAAAACAGTTCGAATTTCCCTGCAACAACAGAAGTAAAGTACTCAAAGCAGTGTTTTGGGCGTCCCGATGACTACCGTCACGGGAAGCAACTTTCGATGGGCAGGATATATTGGCAGTGAACGTAACTTGTGATACCAGCAAATTTCAAGTATAAGTGAGGTGAAGTGAAAAGAAAAATTCCCTCGGAATAAGTTCTTGCAAAAAAAGCAGCACATCAGAACCCTGACAGCTGCTTTGGGATCTTCCGATCACAGAACGACCCTGCAAAGTTATATGTTTTGTGTGTGTGTGTTCGAGTACTTTTTGCGTGTATGTATTAAGTAGTATGTACACGTATGTGGGCTGATGATCAGCCCAAACGAGCTTGACCGTATGATTATTCGAATTTCAACGTATTGAAATACTCACGAACTTCCAGAAAGCCAAATTCAGCGCATTTCTTCGATCTGGTCGATTCAGTTTGACGTTGCAAACATGCTGCCTATAGTCTCCCGACACTTCAATAAATTCTAATTTCGGAAGAGTTGACAGCGTCCGTTTCCACAGATCCAAGTACTGTCCAGACAAAGCAGCCTTCTTGAGCATGACTTGAAAAATATATTAGCATCTGTAGTGAAACTGTTTAATCGAAAAATAAGCAATCGCGTTTCCCACAGATCCAAAATGTCAAGAATTTTTGATGAGGCAGAACATTTTTGGTTGTTGTACTTCACTATTTTGCTTAAATTTATTTCTTTCTGTATGCTTGAAATATTTTTATAAAAGACAGGAACGTCACTAACAAGGGACACCCACACTGAAAGGACGACGATTCCAAAAACGTAACATTGATTCTCACACAGTTTGTGTGTACGACTTTGGATTTTGCAACTACGTGGTGTTTTTTTTTTTTTTTT